ATTTGTAAACAGTATTGGTTGCAAGAAAATGGTAGCTATCATGAGCCTAGAAAACTTTTGACCCTGGAAGGGACTTTAAGAGATCACTGAGCTTTTTTTCTGAAATAATGTAAGGACAGGGTTTTAAAATTTCAGAGATAGAGATAGGAGAAAGAAACAGAAAAGAGGAAAAGACAGTGACAGAGGAGAGAGAAACAGAACACACACACACACACACACACACAGATAGAGAGATAGAGAGAGAGATATATATAGAGAGATCTTCCATCTGCTGGTTCAACCTCAAATGCATCCAACAGCCAGTGCTGGGCCACACTGAATCCAGGAGCCTAAATCAGGCTCTCCCACATTGGTGGAGGTACCTAGCTTCTTGAGCTACCACTTGTTGCCTCCCAGGGTTTTCATTACAGAAAGCTGGAATTGGGAGTGCACCTGGGACTCAAACCTAGGCACCCTGGTGTGGGATGTGGGTATTCCAAGCAGCATTGTACCTACTGTGCCAAACACTTGTCCCGGTGAACTAACCTTAAAGCTGAGGAAATAGCAGGCATCTCATATGATTTAATTTAACACTTTTTTATATTTGAAAGTCAGAGGTACACAGAAAGAGAGAGAGAGATCTTCCAATTGCTGGTTTACTCCCCAAATGGCCACAGTGGCTGGGACTGGACCAGGCCAAAGCCAGGGACCTAAGCACTTGGGCCATTTTCTGTTGCTTTCCTAGGTGCATTAGCAGGGAGTTGGATGGAAGTGAAACATCCAGGACTTGAACCAGCACCTAAGTGGGATACTGGCATCACAGGCAGTGGCCTAACTCATTATACCACCGTGCCAGCTCCTATCCAGCACTTCTGATCAGAGAATCCTGTGAATCAGATATAATGATCATTGAGCTTCATGAAGACCAAGTGACATTCCCAAGGCAACCTTAGAGCTAGGAAGTAGTTGATTTCAGTCTTAGATTATAGTTCTCTGACCCCCAACTCCAAGTCTTTCCCACCGTCTGTGGACTCTAGGATTTTGTGACCTTGTTGGGGAGACAGGTGCACATAGATACCACGAGTCAGTGTGAAATGACTGTGCCATGTTCCAGGGGTCATAGGGAAACAAGAAGGGAGACTTTGTAGAGAAAGTGACTTGGGCTGTGAGTCCTGGCCTGCGCCTAGGAAAGAGGGTCAGGGAAAGTGTTGTAGGTAAGAAGGATCCGCATGAACAAAGGCAAGCAGAGGTGAACAGTGTGGTGTGAAACTCAGGAGTGAGAGGGCTGGGGAATGATGTTGGAGGAAGCAGCAGAGTTTGGGGCGTGGGCAATCTTGTCTACTGGGCTAAAGGGGTTGGCAGAGATGTTGCTGGAAGATTTTCAGCACTGAGCAGCATGTATAGATTCGTGTCTTATTATTTTTTTTTAAAGATTTATTTATTTATTTGAAAGAGTTACAAAAAGAGAGGAAAAGACAGATCTTCCATTTACTGGTTTGATCTCCAGATAGCACTGGGGCCAGGCCGGAGTCAGAAGCCAGGAGTTTCCTCCAGGTCTCCCATGAGAGTTGCAGTGGCCCAAGCACTTGGGGCCATTCTCTGCCACCTTTCCCAGGCCATCAGTAGGGAGCTGGATTGGAAGTAGAGCAGCCAGGACACAAACTGGCACCTATATGGGATGCTGGTATTGAAAGTGGCAGCTTTACCCGCCATGCCACAATGCCTACCCCTATATCCTATTATTTATTTTTAAAAATATTATTTATTTATTTGAAAGACATTATGACAGAGATAAGGAGAGAGAGAGATGTTCTATCTGCTTGTTTACTCCCCAGGTGGCCACAATGGTTGGGACTCAGGCAGGCCAAATTCCAGGAGACTGGAATTCTATTCGGGTCGTCCATGTGGGTGGTAGGGACCCAATTACAAAAGCCATCTTCTGCGGCCTTCCCAGGTGCATTAGCAGGGAACTGTGTAGAAGTGGAGTGGCTGGGACTTGAACTGGCAGTCAGGTATGTCGTGCCGGCATTCCAAGTGGCAGCTTAATCTGCTGTGCCATACAGCAGCATCAGTTTGTGTCTTAGACACAATATTCTTGTGGCCAAGCAGAGGGTGCGATTGGTTGAGGGGAGATTTGAGGGTTTCCTTGTAACCTGAAATGAGATGCTAGAAATGAAGATTAAAGGGTTGGATTTGAGATTTAGTAGGTGGATTGAACAGGGCTCAGTCCTCAATTGGATTTTGGAGGTGAAAGGAGGGGAACAGTAGAAGGCATTTCTCAGCTTACAGCTATACTGTAGGCCAGAAAACTGGGTGTGTGACGCTGTTGCCATTCCAACACAGGGAGTGCACTGGAGGGGAGGGGGGAATCGGTGGGAGCCTTGATGAGCTAACTTTGGGCATGCTGAGTTGCTGTGTTTGCATTTCCTATCTGAGTGGAGACATTGAGTAGGCAGTGGAATCCTGATACATAACCGGAATAGACCATTTGGGAGTCTTTAGCATGCATTTGGTGGCTGAACCCAGTCGAACGATTGAAAGAGCCAAGAAGAAGATAAGAAAATGTCAGGAGATGGAACCTGGAGGCGTGCCAGGATTTAAGGACCGGGGGATGGACTGTGCTGCAGAAAGACAAGGAGAGGTTAGAGGTAGGCTGAGAGTCCGCAGAATCTCAGAGGCCAAGAAAGGAGGTCGCTGTGACTATCAGATTGAGAGGCTATCCGTGTGCCTTGTAACACAGAGGTGACAGGGAACCTTCGATTTCGTTGGTACTCAAAGTCCTGGTTAAGAGAGAACAGTTCTTGTTCCCAAAGGTGGGGGTCTGCACTTTTCCATTTCAGGTCAGTTAAGGGCAAGGCAACTTGGTGGTCATCATCAATAGGGTAATTCAGAAGTATATTCTGCTGAGTTAGATTGGGGCAATTGAGGACATGAGAGGGAGGCATGAAAATAATTCCCAGAGAAGAAAAATTCCACTGATTGATGGCTAAGCAGAGACAACAGCTGAAACTCAGCCGTTGATTTCAGAAATTTATCAGATTTCCAGAAAAAGCTGCAGGCAATCTGGGACAGAGGCTGTGTCACCTTTCAGTGTTTTAAGGCTTACAAACCTAGCATTCTCCTTCTCACGTTTCCAGATCAACACCCTGACATGCACAACCCTTATACTAAGTTTATAATCAGTTGTATAAATTCAACTCCTTAAAAAGTCTTGTCAATGGGTAAAATGAATAAGTGAGAATCATTTGCAAATTAGGTTGTAAAAATTTTTTTAATTAATTAATTTATTTGAGGGGTAGAGTTACATACAGTGAGAGGAAGAGACAGAGAGAAAGGTCTTCCTTCTGCTGGTTCACTCCCCAAATGGCCGCAATGGCCGGAGCTGCACCGATCCGGAGCCAGGATCCAGGGGCCTCTTCCTGGTCTCCCATGTGGGTGCAGGGGTCTAAGGACTCGGGCCATCTTCCACTGCTTTCTCAGGCCATAGCAGAGAACTGGACTGGAAGAGGAGCAGCCGGGACTCGAACCTGGCGCCCATATGAGATGCTGGCACCACAGGTGGAAGATTAACCTACTGCATCACGGCACCAGCCCCAGTGGTAAAATTTTTTAACCTAGCACTTTGTAGAGAATTCTATCATTGACAATGGCACCTGGCAACATTTTTTCTTAACTTTTTATTTTGCCAAATTTTAAACCTACAGAGAAATTTCAAGAATAGTGTAGTTAAGAACTGTGTAACTTTACTTGCACTCACCAACTGTTTACATTTTGCCACATCTACATTCTGTGTTCCCTTTACACACGCACATAGGTTTGTGTTTTTCTGAACCATTTGATGGTGAGCTGCAAACATGATACTTTCATGCATCTCTATACACTTCAGCATGTATCTTCCCAGTACAAGCAAGTCCTAGACAAACACGATACAGTAATCAAAGCCAGGAAACTTAACCATTACACATGACTACAATATTCAAACTTCCCTAAGTATCTGAGTAATGTTCTTTGTAGCTGTTTCCTTTTTGATACAGAATCATATTGAGGATCTTGAAGGGATTTGGTTACTGTCTCTTTTAGTGTGAAATATTTTAGTAGCCTTGTTTTGTCTTTCATGATGTTGATATTTTCTGAAGTGTTTAAGCCACATTGTGCCCCAAGTGTCGTTCAGTTTGTTCTTTTATCCTTTAATTATTTCTTTATGATTAGATTCAGGTTCAGCATTTTTAGCAGATAGGTAACGTTCAGTGCTGTCTTTTGAAAATGTTTTTATCTTTCTCTTTTTGTATGTGTGTGAGTGTGTGGGGGGAGCGAGCAGAGAGAGAGGGAGAGAGAGATCCCATCTTCTGGTTCTCTCTTCACATGTCTGCATTGGCTCAGGGCTGGAGCTGGGAGCTTAAACTCAATCAAGGTTTCCCATGTGGGTTAGGCAGGAACTACATCACCCGGGCCATCATTGCTGCCTCCCAGGACATACTTTAGTAGAAATCTGAATTCAGGAGTGGGAGTTGGGAATTGAACCCAAGCACTTCCATGTGGCACGAGGGTGTCTTAACAGCTGGGCCAATTGACCGCCATATCCTTCTCTCAGACAAGTGACTCTAGGAGTAATGGTTACAGATTCTTTTTTTTTTTTTTTTTTTGACAGGCAGAGTGGACAGTGAGAGAGAGAGAGAGACAGAGAGCAGAGAGAAAGGTCTTCCTTTGCCGTTGGTTCACTCTCCAATGGCCGGCGTGGCCGGCGCGCTGCGGCCGGCGCACCGCGCTGATCCGATGGCAGGAGCCAGGTACTTATCCTGGTCTCCCATGGGGTGCAGGGCCAAGCACTTGGGCCATCCTCCACTGCACTCCCTGGCCACAGCAGAGAGCTGGCCTGGAAGAGGGGCAACCGGGACAGAATCCGGCGCCCTGACTGGGACTAGAACCCGGTGTGCCGGCTCTGCAAGGCGGAGGATTAGCCTAGTGAGCCGCAGGCGCCAGCTTGGTTACAGATTCTAATATTCTTATTTTCAAATACCCAGCAGGTCAGTTACTGATATTCGACTCTTCTTATCATGTCATGATGGAGGTAGCAGGTTATTTGCGCAGATCATTTAATTTAAGGGCAATCTGCCTGGGGTCTTCTCATCCATCAGTCCATGGAATCCAGTGGTGAGTCTAATTCATGCCTCAAAAAGAAAGGCATTTCTGGCTACTCGTGTGAGACACACGACCGCTTGACAATGTTTTGTCTTTTGCAGCCTTCTGAAGGAAATTCAGCTGGCCAAGGGCAGGAGGTGTTGGCCTCAAGGTGAGCCACTGGAGTCGGGAGGGTCCCCGGAGTGACTCCTCACGGTGGGAGCGCTTGCTTAGGTTAGACTACTGCAGCGCACAGAGTTCTGGCTCCGTGAACTCTGCCTTGTGCGCGAACGCACAGAAGTTACAGAAGGCCAACAGCTGGGCCTCGGCACCTCCCGCAGTTTCAGGTAAATCCAAATGTGCTTCTAGAAAGGGGACACAGATCTCAAGACCCCTGATTTGCCTTTCTGCTAAGGAAAAGATCCAGCGAAGAACACAAAGTCCTGTGGACATACGGAACGGCCCTGGGAAGAAAGCCTCAGGGCAGAAGGACGAGTATTCCTGCACGATTCTGTCTTCAGGGAAAATGAATAGTTTGGGAGAGCTCTCGAGTCCAAGGAGTTTGTCAGCCAAAACGGAGAGCGGGGACTGCCAACTCACTACCATCTACCACCACCCCCTGCTGGGGCCTCTTAGCACAAATAACCTCTGGGAACCCGGATGTGAGCTCATATCAGAAAAGTGGCTTTTCCATAGTCCAGATTATAGTTTCAACCCTCAGAAGTGTTTTTTGCTACAAAGATCTCAAATGAAAACAAGATCGTTGAAGACCTCAAGTGGTATTAAAAAGGAATAAAAATTATTGTGAACTCTTTTGTGCCTGTAGGTTTTTTTTCCATCTGTCTTTATTTGGAATTATTTGATGGGGTATTTTCTCCTAAAATATTTAGAAGTGATCATACTCTAGATTTGAGGAGTTCATTGTTTTTAGCCCCTTAAAATATGGTAACTCAGTCTCTCTCTGTAAACTCTGACTTTCAAAAAAATCTTTAAAAAATACAAATATTGTAACTTATTTTAGCTAAAAGAACAATTTTTAAGTGATTCACATTTTTTAAAAAAGCTTTATTTATTTACTTGAAAGGTGGAATTGGGAGAAAGAGAGAGAGAGAGGTCTTCCATCCACTCGTTCACTCCCCAGATGACCACCATAGCCAGTGCTGGGCCGGGCTGAAGCCAAGAGCAGGAGCTTCATCGGGTCTCCTGTATGGGTGGCAGGGACCCAAGCACTTGAGCCATCTTCTGCTGCTTTCCCAGGTCATTAGCAGGGAGCTGGATGGGAAGTGGAGCAGCTGGGACTTGAACCGGGGGCCATATGGGATGCTGTTATTGCAGGCTGCTTAACCAGCTAGGCCACAATGCTGGCCCAGTGATTCACATTTCTGAGGTAGGTAGAACAACTTTGATCTGGTAGTATCCATAGCTTAAAAAAAGTTTAACGTTTTAATGATGTGATTTGCATGCCATTTAATTTGAATTTGAGTTAATTTTCAGCATAAACAAAATCTACACATTGCTGTCACCAAATAAGATATAAATTGTAATAAAGTAAAACCATAACGTTTAAAGTGCCAGAGCTCGTGGATTTGATATCATATCTGTTTTTCACATTTTTATTGTTTCCCATTTTATTGGTGATTTCTAAAACATTAACCATTGCCTGTTGAGGCTTGCTTATGGGCTACCAACTCCCCTGTCACCCAGCTAAATCCTACAGATCATTTTAGGAAGCCAAACGCGAGCATGGGCTCAGCTTTGTCATTCAGGAAAGTGTATTTAACCTCCTTTCGCCTCAGTCTGCTTACCTGTTAAATGGGAGAAATTAGGGCACCCACGTCTGAGTACAGCAAGACTTAGCAAGCAAATGGTGGTCAGGGGCTGCCACCGGCTGCCCCGAGGCTGCTGCGATCCCTGCAGCCTGCAACGTGGGCATACACGAATCAGTGCCTGGGGCGCCTTGCTTGGGCCAGCTGGGTCCACGGGGCAGGATGGCCTCCCCCGGCCGCCCAGCACCCTGCTTTAAGTTCCTGAGGTCGGGGGAGGGGGCACTCAGCCGGGCTGGTCGGGGAGGCTACTAAGTCTGACAGCCCACGCAGAAATACCTCCTGCTGGGGACACTGCTGTTTCTGTGACCTTTGTGGAACCGTGGGACAGAGAACACGTGCAGCCTTAGTGGGTGAGCGTGTCCCGAGGGTGGACCTCCCTCCCTAGGCGCTGATCTGTGGGGGGCTGTGGCCCTCCAGGCAGTGCAGAGACGGTGCCCATCAAATGTATCGGGGCTTTAAGAGCTTGGCATCATCGCACGGATGGGGGCCTGGGTCCAGCCACCCCCTTCACGTGGGTAGAGGATCAGGTAGCGGGCCTGGATGGATCCCGGCTCTGGGGACGTCCCAGTCAGGCCGGCGCGACCCGGAGGATCTCTAGCTTGCAGAGGCTAACATAGAGAGGTCACCTTGGGCAGCCTAGGCGGGGAAGGACACGGCCCTGCAGCCAGAGTTGGAAGACAGATAGCCACACAAGGCGGAAGGAAGGTACCGCAGGGCTCCGCACGCGCCGGGGTCGCGTGTCGCGGTCATCCCATTCCCGTGGCCTTCGCGCCCCGGCCCTCCCAGGGCCAGGAGCCAACCCCCGCAGTCTGGGCCACGGGCCCCACCTTCCCGACCCAAGCCCAGGCCGCGCCCCAGACCCCGCCCCCGCCCCCCGCCCGCCGTGGCCCCGCCCCGAGGACCCGCCCCTCACGGTCCAGTCACCGCCTCTCTGCCCAGGTCCCGCCCCAGATCCCGCCCCCTCAGGTCCGGTCACCACCCGCTCTGCCCAGGTCCCGCCCCGCGACGGCCGGAGGGCGGGGCCTTTCTGCCACGTGCTCCGACGCAGGGAGCCGCCCGCCGGCGGGGCTGAGCTGCGGGCGCGCTGGCCCCGCGGCGCCACTTGCAGCGCAGCGGCGGAAAGCATGGCCACGGCGGCGGCGGCGGCGGCCCGCGGGGCTGGGACGAGGGCGGCGGCAGCGGCAGCAGCGGCCTTGCGGGGTGGCTGCGGGGCTGCGGCGCGCGGGCGGCCGCATGCGGGCAGCACCCGGCCCCTGTGCACTGCCCCCGGGGCCGCCTCGGACATGAAGAGCTACCTGTGGGAGCGCTACCGGGAGGCGAAGCGGAGCACAGAGGGTGAGTGCGGCGGCGCCTCGACACCTTCCCGGCGCGGCCGGCCGCGCCCCCGGCCCGCTCCCGACCTCTGGGGCCTTGCATTTGGGGTTCACGGGCCCCCTAGCCCAGCCCCGGGCGGCCCCTCCTTGGCCGGGCGACTCCTGAAACTTTCCAACTCTTGCGTTTCTCCTGTCAGGGGGGGGGAAGCTGCTGCATTCGTTCCAGGGGTCTTCAGCCAGAAATTTGCATCGGAAAGCGCGTTGGGCTTCCCCGGGGGTGCACTGGCAGGATCCGAAGACGGTCGCCCCCACACTGCCAGGTGTTGAAAAAACCAAGGGTGATAACAGGACGGCCTGGGAAGGGGCAGTGGGCGCCCCGTGCCCCTGCAGGGGCCTGCTGGGCTGGGCGCCTGGCGGCAAGTGGAGGCGCACGTGTTTCTTTTTGGCGGTGGGTTGGGCCGGGCTGGGCTGGCCTGGGCTGGCCTGGCCTGGGGGCCTGGGGGGCCTGGCCTCCCCTCCCGAGCGCAGAGCCAGTGCTTTCTGGCCAGGTGAACGTGAAGTGGGCCTGGCTCAGGCGTTGCTAAGGGAAGCGGGCGCGGCAGAAAGAGGAACTTGAAATCGTAGTGCGGGGCGCCGAGATTTCCCTGTGAATGCTTCCGTAGCCTCCCAGGGTGGTGCTGTTGCATTCCCATTCAGTGGATGGCAAAACTGAGACGCGAGTTGAAGGGCCTCCGGCCAAGGTCACACTTTGACCTAGCGTCTGTCTCAGCGCACCTCTGGTTTCCTGCTCTGATGCCCCCAGTAGCCGCTGACCACTTGGGAACCGCCGTTGCCAGGGGCGGATAGTAATCGCTGCTGCGTTCATGAAAGATTGCAGAATGCAGAATCGACATTTTAATATTGGCCCTCTTTTTTTCGGAAGGGGGGGAAGCTTGAGGTGGCAGTAAGATGAGGAGAACATACTTGATATGACATGTAGTAGTGTCACATTTTCCCTCTTTTGGCCAGAGGTCAGTTTAATGAAATAAAACCCACTTGGAATAATTTTCAGAAGAGATTCAGAGTGGCTACCGGTGCAGAATTCTATAAGACAGTGGTTTATTTTCAGAGTTTCGCTATGCCAAGAATTTAATTTTGCTTTGAGACTTAAAGCTGTTGTGTGGTGCAGAGAGAAGCCTGGCTTTGGAGACGTTAGGAATTGCAGGTCTTAGAGATGAAAGAAATAGACAGAATTGGTCTAGCCCAGCTTTTGGGTCAGCAGGGTGGTTTTCAGTTGAAATTTTAGCGGAGAGAATTGTGTACATGCAACAGTAGGAATTAATACAGGGAGATCTGGCTGACCCTTTGCTCATCTTTCCCCAGTGGTAACATTTTGCAGAACAATAGTACAGTGTCACAGCCAGAGTGCATTGGTGTAATTCTGTTAGAGGCCCCTGGTTTTATTGATACTCCTGTGTGTGTGTGTGTGTGTTGGGGGCAGGAGGAGTTCCACACAGCTTTATCCCATCTAGGCTTGTGTAGCCACCTTGTTAAGGTGTAAAACAGCTCATCAGAAGGATCCCTCATCTTGTCTTTGTAACCCTACCCATCGCCTTCCCCATGCTCCCCCTTTCCCCTGTCCCTGAGGCGTTATCTGCTGTCCACTTCTAAAATTCTGTCATTTCAAAAGGTCTAGCTGCAGTCATGATACTATGTAACCTTTTGGGATTGGCTTTTTTCCACTGGGCACAGTTGCTTGGAGTTTTAGCCACATTGTTGCATGATTGTATCATTAGTGCTTTCCTTATTGGAGCCAGTTTGTGTGCACCTGTTTAACCACAGTGGGCTGCTTACCCTGGCATCACTCATCAGGGGACATGTGGGTTGCTCCTAGTCTTCTGCTATGTCAGATGAAGCTGCAGTAAACATTTATTCATGGAATGAGTTCTGTGTGAACACCGCGCTGGCCCCAGGGAAGAGATTTTTTATTCTTTGTTGTGTCTTTCCTTTCCCATCCTTCTTTATTTGCCTTTAGTTAGGATTTTTTTTTTTTTTTTTTTTAAGATTTACTATCTTTGAAAGGCAGAGCATCAGAGAGAGAGGGAGAGAGAGATTGATCTTCATCCTCTACCCGTTCACTCCCCAAATGGTCACAACAGCCAGGGCTGGGCCAGGCATGAAGCCAAGAACTAGGAACTCTGGGTCTCGCACATGGGTGGCA